AACTAAATCCCCGGCCCTAATAGATTATTTTGTATGTAAGAGACTTCCAGGGCCAGGGATTTAGCTTAGTGGCACTGCACCTGCCTTGAAAGTGCAAGGTCCTGAGTTCGATCCCTGGTACCAAAAAAAAAAAAAACAAAACAGAGAGAGAGAGAGAGACTTCTGGGCTGGAAAGAAATATCCACTTCTCTATTTAATTGCTCAATTTATTAGACTAACGAAAAAAAAACCTTAAAGGTCATTTTCATAGGGGATTTAGGCTTTGATTATAAATTTGTCCTATTAAAGTTGTTTTTCTTTTTGAGTCAAGGGTCCCGCTATGTTGGCTAGACTGATCTCAAACTCTTGGGGTCAAGTGAGCCTCCTGGTGCTGGGTGTGCACCATCACACCTGGCAATTAAAATATCTTAAATAATTTAAACTGTAAATACAAATTCACTATAGCTAGTTCTTTTCACTACTGTATTTGTTTTAAGCATACAGAAATACAGTGATTATAGAATTTATTAAATTCTATAATTTATTTATTATTTATTATCATTTATTTATTAAATTCTATAACCACCAAAACTGGTTTTTGTTTGTTTGTTTTTTGTAGAACCAGCGATCAAACTCAGGACCTTGCACTTGCAAGGCAGGCATGGTGCCACTGAGATAAATCCCTGGCCCCAAACTGGTTATTAAAGTTCTAAAAACCATAGGTTTAATTTTTTCTCTTATTCCAATACCTTCCTGAGGTTCCAATTTGTTGGGGTTTTTTGTTTGGTTTTTTTTTTTGTTACCCAGGATGGAACTCTGGTCCTTGAGCTTGCGCAGTGGGCAGCAAAACCACTGAGCTAAATGCCCAGCCCCAATTTTTTTTTTTGGTACCAGGGGTCGAACTCTGGACCTTGCGCATGCGAGGCAGGCGGCAGAACCACTGAGCTAAATTCCCGGCCCTGAGATTCCAATTTGTATACCTTTCTAGGTTTCAGAAATTCTACCAGTTACTATTTTTATACCTTCCTAGAGTTTTTATAATCCTACTAGATCCGAAAGAAAAGAGAAACTCAGAATAAGGGAAGATTGCAGGTTCCAGGTGGACCCAGGTTATGGAATCAGGTTATGGAACTCTAAGGATTTAAACCTGAGCCACTGACCTCTAGCGCTACCACCTTTTATGGTCAAGTGCTTCTTTTCACCATGAGGTGCTTTTTTTTGGTATCAGGGATCAAACTCAGAACCTTGCACTTGCAAGGCAGGCGCGGTGCCACTGAGCTAAATCCTCAGCCCAATGGAATGGTACTTTTAACTTTCTCTTTTTTCCTGTTTCTTTTTATGTCAAACACAGAAAATAAGTATCATAGCACGTGGAATCCCCACAAACCCATTGCTCAGCTGTAACAATTATAACTCATGGCCATGGATTCTCCTCCCTTATTATTTTGAAGCAAATCCCAGATAGCACAGGTGAAATTCTATGATTCTCTAAAACATAAGGACTCTAAACCACAATACCACTGTCAAAACTAAAAAATTATTTGGCTGACTTTTATACAGATATTAATTTTTGAACTTCGGTGTCTTTCCTAGATATGATACATTGAAGTTCGGCATGCTTATCGAAACCTGGGGCACTGTCCTTTCGTTATGATACCTTGACCAGGCCTGCTGGCATTATTAAAACTTACCTATTCTAGGCCAGATATGGTGGTGCATGCCTGTAATCCCACCACTGAAGAGGCTGAGGCAGGAAGATTACTGCCAGTTCAAAGCCAGCCTGTGCTACATAGTGAGTTAAAGGCCGGCCTGAACTACAAAGCAGGACCCTGCCTCAAAAACCAAAACAAAATAAAACAAAACCCCTGCCTCTTCTAGTCTGGAGGTGTAGCTCAGTGATATAGCACATGGTTAGCATGCAGAGGCCTCGGCAGTTCCCAGGACATGGACACACACACAACCTATCTATACCAGTATTAACTTGTAATTGGTAAGGTTTCCCGCCCTTTCCCCTTACAGATCTCCAACCTGGCTGCACATTGGAATTTGGGGATCTTTTTTTTACAACTCTGGTAAAATACACATAAATTTTACCATTTTGGCCATTTCTAAGTTCAGTGGTATTAAATATATTCACATCGTTGTGAACCAAGAACAGTATCCATCTCCAGAACACTTCTCAGCTTACAAAACTGGAACTGTGTAAACAGTCACTCCCCATTTCCTCTCCTTCCAGGGCCTGGCCGCCCCCATTCCACTTTCTATGAATTTGAATATTCAAGCTATCTCATATGCATTGAGCCCTATGGTATGATGATTTGTCCTTCTGCAATGGGCTTATTTTACCTAATGTAATGTTCTCAAGGTTCGTCCACATTGTAGCATGGGTCAGATTTTCCTTGCAAGGCTGGATAATATTCCAACGTATATAAATAACACATTTTGTTTATTCATTTATCAGTCAAGGGACATTTGGGTTATTTCCATCCCTTGACTATTATGAGTAATGCTGCTAGGAATGTGAGTGTTTAAATATTTCTTAAGACTTTGCTTTCATTTCTTTCAGGTATATACACAGCAGGTGGCACTACCAGATCTTTATTTGAGAACCTGGCATACTGGTTCTGATTTATGTTTTCTTTGAGTGCTAAGTGACAATCTTTATGATAGTGGCTGTACCATTCCACATTTCCACCAACAGTGCATGCGGGTTTTAAATTTCTCCACATCCTCTCTGACACTCAACACATTTGGTTTCTTTTGACAGCAGCCATTTTGATGGGTTTGAGGTAGTGTTATTGTGGTTTTAATTTGCAACTCCCTAATGATTAGTAAAGCTGAATATCTTTTCATGTGTTTGGTGGCCATTGTTTTTGTTTTGTTTTGTGTCGTTTTTCAGTACTGGGGACTGAACCCAGGGGTTTTGCACTAAGCTACATTTCCAGGCCCTTTTTAATTTTTTTGAGACAGGCTATCACTAAATCACCCTGACTGGGCTTGATTTTGCATTCCTCCTGCTTCTATCTCCCAGAGTGCTAAGATTACAAGTGTACCCCACTGTGCCTAGCTTTTTGTTTTTTTCTGGTGATACTGGGGCTGAACCCAGGGAGCACTGAGCTACATCCCAGACCTTTGTATTTTGTGAGACAGGATTTCACTAAATTGTCAGGCTGGCCTCAAATTTGCAATCCTCCTGCTTCAGCCTCCTGATTAGTTGGGATTTTAGGCATACATCATTTTGCCTAACTCATCTGTCCTTTTTTTTTGGTACTGAGGATCGAACTCTGGACCTTGCGCTTTTGAGGCAGGCAGCGGAACCACTGAGCTAAATCCCCAGCCCTGCCATTTTTTAATTGTGGTTTTTGTTCTTTTGTTGTTAAGTTCAAGGGGTTCTTTATACATTCTGGATATTAGCCCCTTATCATAGAGTCTGGTAATATTTGGTGGTAGGACCTGGAGCTCAGTATTTTTTTTAAGCTTCCCAGGTTGAGAATTATTTTATTAGGAGATGAGGCAGTAAGTTTAAGTCAGTTTTCATGGATACTTCATCATTTCATGGTGGGGATTTAGCTCAGTGGTTCCACTGCCTGCCCTGCAAGCACAGAGGCCCGAGTTCAAGTCCCAGCACCAAAAAAAAAAAAAAAAAATTACTTGTCAATATCATTTCAGAACAAAGTACAGAACTTCCTCCAACCTGGTTACTTTGTATGTTCACTGGTACTGTCCAGTCATAGTAGGAGCTTTGCTTTCCTGGGTTACCATACTTAGTTCTCTGATTCTGTTATTTCCTCCTTACATGGGTAGAAACTACCATAGTTCGTATTTATTCCTTATCAAGAAAAAATAGAAGAAAAAATATCCATATATTAACACTCTCCTACTTACAACTATTTTCAAAATGATACATATCTTTATGACCATCACCTTTCTTGGTACAATTACCTTTTTTTTCCTTTGGTACCAGGGATTGAACTTGGGACCGTGTGCTTGGGAGGCAGGGGGCAGAACCACTGAGCTAACTCCCCGGCCTAACAATGACCTTTTTAAAGTCTTTATCATAATTTAATGCTTTTTGGGCCAGGGAGTTAGCTCAGTGGTGCCGCCTGCTTGGAAGCGCCAGGTCTCAAGTTCAATCCCTGGAACCAAAATAATAATAATAATAATAATAATAATAATAATTTAATGCTTTTGAGTGGCTTATGGAATACTTTTCCTAGTTATTTCACTTGAGCATATTATATATTTTAGGGTGCTGAAATTGTTACAACTTGCACAGTGACAATCTGTTTAATAATCACCCCTGGCATCCTTAAAAAACATCTTTGCTTTCTGGTATCACTAGGATGCTGTAGACCCAATCTGATTTCTCTTGTTTCAAAGAATGTAATCAGCTGCCCTCAAAGGACTCCTGATTATTTAAATGGTAAATAAGTATTTATCACTGTTACCAGTAGTAGGAGGTAAAGAACCCATCCTCAAATGGTGACAGAGTTGGAAAGTTTTCCTTAATGTAAATTTAATGTTGATTGTTCCAATTTAATATAACACTGCTAGGCTCTCCCTGGCTCTGCAGATTCACCAGCCACACGTGACCCTCTGAAGCTACCATTATCTCCATCTTTTGACTGAACAGGAACTACACGGAATTCTGTAGCTTGTCCAGGGTTGCACTGCAAGAAGTGTTGGGCTAGGACTCAAACCCAGCAGTTTTCAGAAACTGAGCTCTGACAGGTTTCCCACAAGACTGCCTCATCCTCTGCCTACTGTCAGAAACACAGAACAAAGGGCCGGGGATTTAGCTCAGTGGTTCCGCTGCCTGCCTCACATAAGCACAAGGACCCAAGTTCGATCCCTGGTACCGCAAAATAAATAAATAATCAAATAAATAAATACAAAACTTGGATGTTTACAAGAGATTCTCCGCCAAGTTGCCTCACCTAGGTCTCCCAAGGCAGGTTTTCCTAGCCTTGGCTGTGGTGAAGACAAGGAAATACAACCCCAGTTTTCTTCTCTCCCCGCAGGATTCGGGAGTAAGAATGACCAGGAGAGCCCTCCAAGAGAAAGGGCTGAAGACAGAGCCGCTCCGGAGGCTCCTGCCCAGGAGGGGCCTGCGGGCAAACGCCCGGCACAGTTCTGCGGTGCCCGAAGCCAGAGCCCCGGGGGGAGGCAGCCAGGCCCCGAGGGCACCCAGGACAGTCCCCCAGGGGAAGGGGAGGTGAGTCGGCTTCCCTGCAAGGCCGGGCCCTGAAGCCTCTCCGCTTCCCGCCGCCGCAGCCACGCGGGAGCACCCGGGACGAGCCGCCCCGCTCCTTCCCGGCCCTTCCGGCCCGCTCCCGCCTCGAGGTGTGGAAGCGCGCGGGCAAGAGCGGGCCGCCGGGCGCCCGAGGACGCTTGCTCGAGCGCAGGGTTGTGCGGACGCCGAGGGCCTTGCCCGCCTCCCCGGAAACCTGCGGCCGCACCGCGGACTAAGGGAGAGCCGCGCCGGCCTCGGCCTCGAAGGCGCAGCGCCACACCGACGCGACGCGGAGCGCGGGAGGCGCGAGGGGCGTTGGTCTCGGGTGCCGCCCTGGACGCCCACGCCGGCCAGGGGGAGACTCCTGGCTGGGCCCTGAGCCAGCCCGGCCCGCCCCCGGAGAAACCGTGGGCGGAGCCTGGAGTGTGCGCGCTCAAGGAAGGGCTTCGGGCAGCTGGCTTGGGCCGGGCCGGGCCGCGGGCGCCGTCGCCTGGGAGTAACTCCTGCCTGCCGTCCGTTGAGGGCTTGCTCTGGGTCGGACACGGGACCTGCGGCCTCACTCGACCCTCGCGGCATCCCTGTGTCACAGATGCTGCCAGCGCTGTACAGATGGAGTGACTGAGTCTCCAAGAGGTTAACGGACTTGCCCAGAGCCACACAGCCGTTTGCGGGCCGAGCGGCACTCGGACCGCGGTCTGCCTAACGCCGCAGCCCTCCAGGCCTCGCTCCTTGTGCTGGACGCGTGGAACTGAGGCTGTCAGTTTGACAAGGCACCCTTTTACGGACCCTGCGTCTTTGTCAGTGCTGGAGTACATGGGACACTTCCGCAGGGAAGTGAGCCGTACTCCCGGGAGGGACACGAGGATTGTACCAGTGACTGAGATGAGATTGGGTGGCACAGATGACGCCGCAGACGGAGCGCAGGGTCAGCAGGCGGTCCCGTGAGCGGCCGCCGCTCAGCCCTCCAGAGCGGGTGGTGAAGGAAAGCGCCCCGGGACTAGCTCCTGTGCGGGGGGGCTTCCCGGAGGCCAGAGCGATGGCCTCTGTGCACATTTGCTGGCACACTGGATTGCTTGGGGGAGTCAAAGCACAAAGGTTTATTAATTAAAGTTTCCAAATTCCCAGCAGATACTAATCTTCAGGATTTAGGAATGAAAATTGAAATTCTGGGGAATTCCTGAAATATATTATTCTTTTTCATAACTTTCTGTACTTTTTTAAACAAATAAATACAAATTTAGTAGTAGTTAAAAAGAACTGTAGGCCATAGTAAATATTCAAAAACTGGAAAATGTCAGCAAACACTCTTGGTGGTGGTTGAATAGCAAAATGTTTAAATATTCACCTAGATTGACAGCACTTCACAGTTATGAGTTGAAATTGCCAATATAAGCTTGTTTCCACGACACTTATTTCTTGGAACATCACAGAATTTGTATAAAATACAGTATGCATGTAAACATATAATTTCTATTTGTGAGAGTGAGTCACTATTAACAGCAGACAGGGCCATAGACAGATTTTTAATATGCCAACTGCCACCAAAAAATCATTAAATTATGATAACTTCTCCCCTATGTGCTCCTGTCCCAAGTTCCAGAAATGTCTACCTTAACTTTAGATTCTGAGTGTCAGTGTTTCCTTTTCTTATTTTTTACTTGATATCAGTAGATCCCTTCAAACCAGGAACTCCTGTATATTGTCAAGCATTAATTCTCATAGGAGAATTACAGTACTTTTTTTCTCAATTTCTTCACAGATTTTTGAGATTCAGAAAAACACACATTTTCCAATAAATGCCACAAAGGAATTCCTGCACAGAAATACTATCTGGGCTGAGCAGGGGTGGTAAGGAAAGTCTGCTGCAGAGATATGACCTAGTATTTTGTCAGGCTCGGTCAGGGAAGCTTCATGGTATCAGAGGCCTCAGAACCAGAGGATCCAACATGGATTCCAGCTTTCAAGTTCCTAGTTGTGGAACCTTGGACAAACCACTTTACCTCTCTGAACTTCAATTTAATGGACAGAGGAGTAATGTCTGGGGAGTAACATGCCCGCTTTGTGAAACAATACTGTAGAAGAGTTGAGAGTGTGGCTTTGGAGTCAGACAGTCTGAGGTTCAAATCCTAGCTCCATCACTTGCCTCCTCTTTGATTTGGGGCAAGTTCTAACCACTCTATGAATTTTCTCTTCTGTAAAATGGGGACACTGATTGAATCTATTTCATAGTGATTGGGTGAATTTAAATGAGATCTCACATGGAAACGTGACACAGAGCATGGTACATTGTGAATGCTCGGCAAGTGTAAAGCAGTATAGTTACTGGCTGCATCTACCTCACAGGGCAGTTGTGAGGGTGAAGGGGGGAGGGACAGTGGCATGGGGTTTTCTAAGCTGTGAAATGGTACCACATGCTTCTCTTTTCTCCAGAGATGGGATGGTCAGAATGTATGAGTAGACATTAGTGGTATCCCCAAGTAGGGAGCCTGAGAATAATTATAATTCCTGTACTGTCACTGTGTTGAGGTCATCGTAGCTGAAAAACAGGGTGTAGACAGCTCTCGGTTGACGGTTGATTGCAGTCAAGTGGGCAAACTCCAGCACGGTAGACCATGCTCTTGGGGACAAGTAGGAAGCTGATGTTCAGGGAGTCTTTGGAGAATGGCTAGTGTTAAATGGAATCTAGCCCCTTTTATTCAGTGGGGTTCACATCCCAGGAAGGGAGCGTGTAACAGATGGTGGTGACAGAGGCTCTCTAATCTGGCCTGGAACTCACTGGTGGAAGGCTGGAGTGAGGAGATCTTACCAGAGATTGTAGACCAGGCATGGTTCAAAGACATCTGTAATCCAAAGATGATCTGATGTGATCCTGACAGCAGCCCATAAAGTAAATATCAGCACTGCTCCAGTTTTTTAGATGAGGGCTTGGAGTCTGGGAAAGCTAAGTCCAGTGCCCACAGTCACCGAGGTTCTGTGTGGTGGAGTCAGGGTCTAGAGAATGAGTCTTTCTCCAGCACTGAGCTGTCTCAGCCCACCAGGTGCCAGATGCTGATCTTGAACAAGGAAGAAGAAAGCCCAAATGTATAAGGTTTTTATGCCCAGCTGTCCTCCTCTCTTGCCTTTGGTAACAATTCTTTTTTTTTTTTTTTTTTTGGTACCGGGGATCGAACTTGGGACCTTGCACTTGCGAGGAAGGAGATGGAACCACTGAGCTAAATCCCCAGCCCTATGGTAACAGTTCTCTCTGCTGATATTACTCCTACTTCTCTGAACACTGCTTCTTTGCTGCTCTTCTCCACTCAGCCCTTAAGTCAGCCTTTTGCACCCATTCCGGACTCTCCACAGTTGAGGGATCCTTATGCCAATGACTTTGGGCCCCAGTCACCTCTCGTTAGAATGAGCCTGACCCTCTGAGCAGCAGTCTGACCAAGCCACTGCTTCCTTGACATGCCCTCTCTGAAATTCCTCTTTACCTTAATTTCAAATACTGGGGTGAGGGGGAAGGGAGACACCACCTAGGAAGCCTTCAAAGAAAAAGCCTTTTTTTTTTTGCTTTTTGAGACAGGCTGTCACTATGTAGTCCAGGCTGACCTCAAACTCATGGTGATCCTCCTGCCTCAGCCTCACAAATGCTGGGGTTACAGCTGAGCCGCCACTCCCGGCAGAAGAACCCGCTTGAATATGGGGCTAATGACCTGCAGGGTATGTTCTCTGAGAGCTGCCAACAGTTTGGAGGTGAACTTGGAGAGTGGAATACATTTCCTCAGTTAGCTCAGGGCCCAGCAATGAGCCGTATCCAGCAGCTGAAGTGGAATATGCATCCATGAGGAAAAGACAGGAGCCCCAGCCTCAGGAGGCTCCAGGCCGCTGGAGGAGACAGACATGAGCAGTCCTCTTGAACTACAAACTCATAAACTGTGACAAGGTCATGAAGAGAAAGCTCAGATGGGCGCTAGGAGAGAATATGACAGAGCTAAACCAGGAGGGGTTGGGGACAAAAAGGCCTTTTTGAGGAAATGATAATACTGCATCCCCGAGACCTGAGTGAGGGGAGAAGAATTCAATGTACAAACAACAGTAGGAAAGGGCTCGGTGTGCTGAGAAACTGAATGTGCCCCGCGCAGCTGGGGCTGACGGTGCTGGGGGGCGGGGGGTGCAGAGGCCTGCAGGCCATGGCAAGGGACTTGGACTTGTTGGTTTAACTTTTTATTTGGAAATAATTTCAAAGTTATAGGAAGTAATTATAGTTACAGAGAGTAACTGGAAGCCTGGTTTTCATCCACACTTCGGTGGAATGACGTGACTCAATATGCAATCAGTATGCAAAAAGCCCACTGACTGCTGTGTGAGACTTCATAGGTGCTGGAGCTGGAGAGCATGCTGCAGAAGGCATCCGTCTAGCCTTTGTCCACAGCTCACCCACTGCTAACATCTTCCCGGAGGCCGCAGGCCATGGGCCCTCGGTGCCAAGCGCAGGCGTGGGACTTTTATTCGGAGCTATGAGTTCTATGCATCATGTTCCTTTGGTACAGTGCATGTTTCTGACCACAATACAATTCCCACTGCACTAGCTCTAACACTGCCACAACATGCCAGCTAATTTACTCATCTCTTGTCACTTGTCTCTGTCTCTCTCCGTATAGCATTGTTTCCATGTAGTACAGGGTCTGGTCTGGGAACGATGTGTTGTATTATGTTGTTATTTCTCTTTAGCATCCTTTATTCTGGAGTGGTTAGCCTTCCTTTGTCTTTTATGATGTTGAAATTTTCAAAGAATTCAGTCTTCCTCTTTATTTTAATAGATTGTTTCTCCTTTTGTATTGTCTGCTGTTTTTTATTATTATATATGGGTTATGCTTTCATTGATGAAAGACTGCATAAGTGACACTGTGTCCTTTATACCAGTTAAAAGCACAGATGTCTCTCTGTACATCTTTGGTGATTTTTGACTTTCATTTTCATTACACAGTCAAGATATGGTCAGATTTCTCCAATTCATAGTTACTAATAATTAGTAAGCAATCTATAAGGAGATACTTTATGACCACAAGATATCCCATGCCATGTCAAAGTTTAAATAGACAGATTTAACATCTGCTGATGATTCTTGACTGAATAAATTTTCAGGATGGTTTCAAAAATGCTAACTCTTCAGCTCCAAGACTCTCTCCACATTATTAGTTGACATTTGACATTCTCCTCTATAGATATACAGCACACACACACACATACACATATATTTACCACCCACAGCACTAGATATTGAACCCAGGCCCTTGCGTGTGCTAGGCAAGTGCTCTACCACTGAATTACATCCCCAGCCCTGAATTTTTTTTTTTTTATTTTGACACAGCATCTCACTAAGTTTCCCAGTTTGGTCTTGAAATTTATATCTTTCTGCCTCAGCCTCCAGGGTAGCTAGGATTGCAGGTATGTTCCAGGTATGTTTATTTATTTTTATTATTAGAAGGAACTCTTGAATTTCTACTCTGTGTGTGTGTGTGTGTGTGTGTGTGTGTGTGCGTGTGTGTTCCTGAGGACTGTTGAGTCCAAGGGCTCACACATGCTAGGTAAGTGCTCTACAACTAGGTTACATTCCTAGCCCTTTTAAAAAAAAATTATTTTTTTTAGACACAGGGTCTCACTAAATTGTCCAAGCTGGTCTCAAACCCAAGATCCTCCTGCCCCAGCCTCCCAAATAACTGAAATTATAGGGGTGTGCCACCGTGCCCGGCTCTATAACTATTAACTTTAATTATTTTGGTGCCCAATTTGTCCCAGATGACTAGTGGGAACCCCTAAAAGCTAGAAGCTTGGCTTTCATCCTAACTTCACTGGAGTGACATGATTCATTTGCATAAAAGCCCACCCTGAATGTTGTGTAAGGATGCACAGTAGGGATTAGAGTGAGGAGCAAAAGGGGTCAGACTGGTGCTCCTGAAGCCTTCGCTGCTCAGGGTGTAGAGGTGGTGTGCGCAGGAGCTAGCAAAAGCCAGGGCAGATGATCGCACAAAGCTGAGAGGGCCCTGAATCCTGGGGAACCATTGAAGAGTGGTGAGCAGAGAGACCGACAGGGTGTGACCTTCATTTCAGGGTGATTGTTCTGAGAGCCAAAGACCATGTGGAGGGCTGCCCAATGCTGTGGCTCTTTCCAAAGTAACTGGTTGTCTCTTGACCCTGGGGACTTCCCAGTGGGTCCCCTGCCTGGAATGTTCATCAGTCACAAAACACCTGTTGACAGCATCTTTCAGCCCCAGCTAATGTGCCAGCAACCCCTCCTCTCCCGCCCCGGCCTTCTTTTGCCTCTGGTACCTTTTCCTAACCAGGTGCAGTGCAGGTGTAAGTATACACAGCTGGGCCCCGAGCCTTACGGCAGTCAACTTACCAACCCTTCGCCTCTGCTCTGGGATGCTCTGAGTTCCGCATGGGCATTTGGGCAACCAACCTTCGAAATCAGTGCCCTGTGCCTGCCTCTCTCCCCACCCCAGACCCCAGGGAGACGAGTTCAAGCCAGGGTCAAATCCCGAGTGCAGCTTCCTATCAGGGGTGCTGCTGGGTGCTGTTGGGTAGGAGAGCTGTCTAGAGGTGCTGACAACTCACAGATGGGGCTTCTCAGAAGTGGCTGGATCTCGAGTGTGTGACGCTGGGATTGATTCACAGGGCACTGCTAGGCTCAAGGCCACTAGGATTACGGGTGTGAGTGCTGCCTGCCCTAAGCAGACTGGGTAAGATAAAAGGGGCAGAGAGACGCTGATAAGGCCCCTTGCTGCTTTTGCTGTCTTCCTCTGCTATGAACTGTTGTCCCTCTGCCACGCCCCGCTGCCTTGGAGCCAGCCAATTATGGACTGAAACCTCTACAAACTATGAGCTAAATAAACCTTTCCTCCTTTAATTTTGGGTGTTGGTATTTCGTCTCAGCAATGAGAAAAGTAACTAAGACACCCAGGAAACACAGATTGTTGCTGGTTGGAGAAATCAGGGTACGTCTCCAGAGTGGGTGGCATTTGAACAGGGCCTTGGGAATCGATTTCACAAAAGAAATATCTGATTATTCAGTGGATAAGAGGAAATAAATAAAAGCAAAACCCCACATCTTCATATTTTATTGATATTGGGAAAAGAATTGCTGTTGGTTGCATAATATACTTTAGGCAGATATCTATAACTTGTTCCTCATTGTTAGAATAATTCATTCCAGACCGAGCAACATTGGCCAGGCAGAGGGGACAGGAGCAACACTGGGAACCGTGCCACTCCAGATCAGTGCTTGATCGCATTCATTCTTTCTGTTCAGCAAACATTTATTAAGGTCCCAACACTTACCAGGCCCTGAGCAAGTAATGAGTCTTGAGATGGGGTCTCTGTCCTGTCACGTCTAACAGCGAGGGAGCATAAGTGCACAGAATTAAGCAGCGGTGTCATGCCACTTGCTGTGGAACGGGCTGGCGAGACCTCTTCGAAGGCGGAGTCCACGTGGGTGCTGCTAAGCCTGCTCTCCACAGGCAGAAAGCGCGTCCCATCTCCTTTTATGTGTTTCTCTTTTTCTTTTGTTTACTATTTCAAATATCCATTTTTTCCCATGTCTTGGGGAGGGGCCTATTGTTACACTACTTTCTGAAATCTCAACTTGCATGCTCAATTGATTCATTCATTTTTCTCTTTTTGACACTAAAAGCATTTAATGCTATTAATTTACCTCTGCACAGAGCTTTGTCTGTATCCGACTTTTAAAATTACTTTCTAAAAAAAAAAAATTACTTTCTAAATAATCTTTTTTATTTTTTGTTTCTTGTCCTAAGGATAATTTGAGATGCTATTTTTATGTTTTAAAATTTCTAAGGGGCATGTTTTATATTACTGTTAGTTGCATTGCATTTTGGTCAGAGAATAGCTTGTAAAATTTCTACTTTTCAAAATTTGCTAATATATTCTCTGTAGTTTAATATTTATTGATTTTTGTTATGTCCATTAAGCTTGAAAAGGAGTTTAGCGTTTGTTTTCAGAGCAAAAAATTTACATGTTCATATCTTCTATGTCCTGATTTAATTTTTGATTACTTGTTCAAAAAATGTGTTAGAATATTTCTGTTTTTTTGTTTTCTTTTGTTTTTGGTACCGGGGATCGAACTTGGGTCCTTGTGCTTGCAAGGCAGGTGGTGGAACCACTGAGATAAATCCCTGACCTATTAGAATATTTCTAATAAAATTATTCCACATGTTTTTCCTTGCCTTATCAATATTTCATTTTATGGATCTTTGTTAACCTAACATATAAGAAATTAAACCCTTACACTATTAATGACACTTTTCAGAGAGGAGAGTTAAAAGCTCAGGTCTGGAGTCAGATTGCTTGAAGATCTAAATCCCAGCTTACCCATTTATTAGCTTAGATTTCTTCCCATAAAATGGAAATAACGATGTGAGGATAACTTCCTGGTACAGCTTGTGGATTTAATGAGATGTTGAAGGTGAAGCACTTGGAGTACTTTCCGGCATCTGCTGGATAAAATAAAGCTAGGGTTAGCTACTGTGGTCACACTTATGTTGCCTGGCTCACCATCATGATCATGGCAGCCCTTACAGAGGTAGAAAGGTCTTTTTCGTCTAGCCAGAACACATTTTTTGTTTTCTTTTTTTTATTGGTACATTGCAGATATACGTAATGATAACATTCATCATAGGGAATTTAGGGTTTTTTTGTTGGGTTTTTTTTTTGGTACCGGGAATCAAACTTGGGACCTTGCACTTGCGAGGCAGGTGCCAGAACCACTGAGCTAAATCCCCGGCCCGATCATAGGGAATTTAAATCCAGATGTGATATATCTTTGTTCTTTATTCCCCCATTCTCCTTTTCTCCCTTCAACCCCTCTTCCCCTCTTTGTTTACAAAGCTTTGTTTCCATTTTTCCTTCCATTCTTTTTTCCCTCGTCCCTTTTTCCCTCCCCCACCCCATTCCCCTTCTCATTTGAACATTTTCTTCCCATTTCCCAATATCTATTATACATTTTCATCCTTATTTATATTTTTGGTTTCTTCTTTTTTTTTTTTTTTTGGAGACAGGGTCTTGCTGTGTAGTTCACGCTGGTCTTGAACTCACTATGCAGCAATCCTGCCTCCGCCTCCCGAGTGTGTGCCACCATACCCAGCTACAATACGGTATTTAAACATGTGTGTCTGAATTATTTCACTTAACAGTATGGTCTTAAGGTGTATCCGTTAAGTTAGGAATGTCTCAAGCTTGTCTTTCTTTATGGCAGAATAGTGTACTCCATTGTATAAAACAATCACATCTTTTTTACCATTCATCAGCTGATGAGCACTTGGGCTGTTTCCAACTTAGCTATTACAAACTGTGCCACTATAAACATGGGTGTGCATATATCGCTGTGGTATGATGCTTTTTTTTTTTGGTACCAGGGATCAAACTCGGGAACTTGCGCTTGTGAGGCAGGTGCTGGAACCACTGAACTAAATCCCGGCCCAAATACTATCCATTTTGTTTGTTTGTTTGTTTTTGGTACCAGGGATTGAACTCTGGTCCTTGCACATGTGGGGCAGGCAGCGGAACCACTGAGCTAAATCCCTGGCTCTGATGCTTTTAATTCTTTCAGGAAGATATCAAGAATGGGGATAGCTGGGTCAAATGGGACCTCTAGCCCTAGTTCTTTGAGGAATCTCCATACTGACTTCCACAGTGGTTGCACCAGTCTGCACTCCCACCAACAGTGGAGAAGGGTTCCTTCTCCCCACAGCCCTGCTAGCATTTGTTATGGGTTGATTTCTTGATAGCAGCCATTCTTTCTTGAGTGAGATACAA